CGTGTTGGTGGTGTATTGCGCCGTAATTCTGGCCGCTGTAGCAAATTCGGCGGTGTAATGCACCTTCAATGACTTGGGGGCACAGCAACTTAAAACTCTTCTGCAGAGTCTTAGTTTGCTGTCCTACAGCTGCGGAGCAAAGCACCGGGCTCTGTGAAGCTCCGTGGCTCTGCAGGAAGCCCTGCAGGCAGCCTGGCACCAGCCTGGGAAGGCAGGCTCTGCCCAAGAAAAGTAAAAGCAATGATCTTTCCCCACCCCCTGGAGCTGCGCGGGGGCCCGATGCTTCCCTCCACAGCTGCGGTGCCCCTTGGGACTGCCTGAGCCAGGTGCCTGTGGGCAGGGACTGCCTGTGGGGGACACTGCTGCTGTGGAGGGAAGCATCAGCACCCCTGCAGCCCAAGGACCGCTCCACCCACCGGCAGCTTGTCCTCCCCTCCCCACAGCCAGAGAGGCATGTAAGTTCACGAGTGTGTGCACGACACAGGGGTTTACTTTGCCCTAGATTGAAGCAGTGTTTTTAAAAACCCACCACTTCCATTTAGGGCCCCTGTTTCGTCTACACACAATTCTTACCCTGTCATGTCTCCTCTAGTGCATGCATCTCCAGTGCGTGCTGCAACAGGGTGCATCAAGAACAGGCCCCATGCTAAAGACATCTGTGTTAGTCGTTGTAAACAAGGTTAACATACAAGAGGCCTGTTATTTCTGAACCTTTTTCTTTCCCCCCCAGGAACATGAAAGAGAATTTTGGAAAAGAAATCGAGAATCTGGAGTACACCTTAAAGAGAGAGTGCGAGATGAGGTAAAATTTACAAACTGCCGTTTGCTTTAAGACACAGACCAAAAGATGAATGAGTTACAAAAACTTTCTTTACATCTTTGAGCAGGGGGTTGGACTAGAACAGGTGGATAATCTGTGGCACGGGCACCCCAAGCAGTATGGGCAACCTCCGTGTGCAGCACACAGCAGACTTGGAAGGAGACAGGCAACAGTCTCAGAGAGGGCAGAGAGCAAAAAAGGAGAGCTGCAAATTGGGCAGGGAGGCAGCACAGGATGGGGAGCAGAAAGCAGAGCAGGAGATCAAGCGGGGGCACAGGGCAGAGAACAGCAATTAGAGCATCTGATCAGGCAGAGGAAGGGGATCAGAGTGGCACTTGGGGAGGGCCTGGAGCTAATTTGTGGCATGCCTGCCAACAAGGTAGACCCCAACTGGGTCAGATGATCTGAGGTCCCTTCCAACTCTACTTTTCTGTGACTATCATTCAGTCAAATAAGACATAACAGGAAGTTCCTAACTGCTTGAAGATCAGTGTCACCTTTTTGCAAGATAAGGAGTGGTGAATTTGGGCAAGGCACTGAAATTGCAGCTGGGGTAGTTGCATTTTGTTTTCTTAAATTTTGCTGCAAGATCATTTGGATGAGGTATTCTTTTTCCCTCTTGCTTTAAGTCATCATAATACTTTTGGGCAATGACTACAGCTGAATTTCATCAAGTAGGTCTCTCTTTATCAATGATGTATTAAATTAAACTGATATTCAAACCAGAACGTTAATGAAGTACTTGGAACTTTTCAGATGAGAGACACTTATGGAAGTTTCTGTTGCTGTATCCTCATTTGGCTCCTTTTTATTTTATAGAACTATAGAAAAATTAGGGTTGGAAGGGACCTCAGGAGGTCATCTACCCCCCAGTCAAAGCAGGACCATCCCCAACTATATCATCCTAGCCAGAGCTTTGTCAAGTTGGGCCTTAAAAACCTCCAAGGATGGAGATCCCACCACCTCTCTAGGTAACACGTTCTAGTGCTTCACCTCCCTCCTAGTGAGAGAGTTTTCATAATATCCAACCTAAACATCTCTTGCTGCAACTTGAGCCCATTGCTCCTTGCCCTGTCATCTGAGAACAGTCCAGCTCCATCCTCTTTGCAGCTCCCCATTGATTACTACTGAACCATTGATCACTGCCCGTTGAGCCTGACAATCCAGGCAGTTTCCTATCCACCTTACAGTCCATTCATCCAACCCATACTTCCTCAGCTTGCTTGTAAAAATGCTATGGGAGACAGTATCAAAAGCCTTGCTAAAGGCAAGGTATATTATGTCCACTGCTTTCCCTGCATCCACAGAGCAGTCATCTCATCACAGAAGCCAATTGGGTTGGTCAGGTATGGCTTTCCCTTGCAGAATCCATGCTGACAGATCCTGATCACCTTCTTCTCCTCCAAGTGCTTAGAAACGGATTCCTTGAGGACCTGCTCCATGATTTTCCAGGGACTGAGGTACGGCTGACTGGTCTGCAGTTCTCTGGATCCTCCTTTTTCCCTTTCTTAAGGATGGGCACTGTATTTGCCCTTTTCCAATCGTCCAGGACCTCCCCCGATTGTCATGAGTTTTCAAAGATAATGGCCAGCAGCTCTGCCATCACATCAGCCAACTCCCTTGGCACCCTCAGATGTATTGCATCTGGCCCCATGGACTTGTTACACGTCCAGCTTTTCTAAATAGTCCCTAAACCTGTTCTTTATGGTTGATACTGTGACACTGTGGTCAATGGGAGCTTTGCCATTAAATTAACCTGGAGCAGGAACAGGCTTTGAGGCTTTATGGCTCATTTTTCTGAAGCATTTGGCAACTGCAGTAGTCAGTGGGAACTTTGAATACTCCAAACACCAGTCTGTGGACATGAAGGGCTCCATCTTTTGTGCCCAGTAGGACAGCCCTACAATTCAGGGAACAAGAATGGCTTCCAATTCTTCTTCTTATTATTATTTTTTTGCATCTCCAGTGAGGTCCACTCTTCCCCTTTCAGCATTTAAATAGACCCTTCTCTTCAGTTTAACCATTTCAGCAAACATAGAAGCATAGCATAGCATAGAAGTAGGGTCGGAAGGGACCTTATAGATCTTCAAGTCCGATCCCCTGCCAGGGCAGGAAAAAAAAAAACTGGGCTCAAGTGTTCCCAGCTAGGTAGGCATCAAGCCTCTTCTTAAAGACCCCCAGGGTAGGAGCCAGCACCACTTCC